GAAGCTTTTTTTTTTTTTTTTTTTTTTTAAAGAGACAGAGTCTTGCTCTGTCACCCAGGCTAGGGTGCAGTGGTGCAATCTCGGCTCAATGCAACCTCCACCTCCTGGGTTCATGCCATTCTCCTGATTCAGCCTCCTGAGTAGCTGGACTACAGGCGCCTGCCACCACGCCCAGCTAATTTTTTGTATTTTTAGTAGAGACGGGGATTCACCGTGTTAGCCAGGATGGTCTCGATCTCCTGACCTCGTGATCCACCTGCCTTGGCCTCCCAAAGTGTTGGGATTACAGGTGTGAGCCACCGCGCCCGGCCATAATTTTCTACATGATTTCAATTTCTAAAAGTAAAAAATATTTTTAATAGAAGAAAATTAACGCACAGTTGTCAGTCCAAGCCCTCTCTCCACTTCTGGCCTCAGCCTGCCAGTGCTCTTTATATAGGAGCCAGAATAACAAGTTAATTTGGGGGAGAGAATCACCAAAGATTTATAATGATGACATGAAGTGTGTCTTCATTACAAATGTTTTGTGTTTTATAATGAAACGCAAAGATGTAAAAGATTTAGATTTTAGCTACATTGGCAAAATTCTTCATTATAAATCTTCAAATCTGTATGTAATTTGTATGTTGACAGTACTTCCAGATTTTATTTTTATGAGTGCTTCCTTAAAACTTAAAGCAAGTTCAGGGCCTGGCGCGGTGGCTCACGCCTGTAATCCCAGCACTTTGGGAGGCCAAGGAGGGCGGATCATGAGGTCAGGAGATCGAGACCATCCTGGCTAACACGGTGAAACCCCGTCTCTACTAAAAAATACAAAAAATTTGCGGGGCATGGTGGCGGGCGCCTGTAGTCCCAGCTACTCGGGAGGCTGAGGCAGGAAAATGGCGTGAACCGGGGAGATGGAGCTTGCAGTGAGCCCAGATTGCACCACTGTGCTCCAGCCTGGGCGACAGAGCAAGACTCTGTCTCAAAAACAAAAACAAAAACAAAAAACAACTTAAAGCAAGTTCACCTCCTGGTCACTCTCCCAGGCAGGGAAGACTGGTGCTTCGAAGGCGCTCTCTGCCATATAATGTTTACTAGTCAACAGAAGCAGCATGTTCTAGTTAGGGAGTTTTCTCATATGTACCCACACACCCAAAGACATAAGGAGTCCAAAAAAAAACTCGCCCTAGGCCATTGATGCTGAAACTGTTCTGGGACAAAGACACAAGTACACCCAGCAGTTGCATATGAACTTCAAAAGAACCTTCTTGTCCCCTGAGGTTTCAATATGGCATGGGGTGTGAAAAGCTGACCCAAATGGACCTCTGGTTGCTCTAGGCCGGTGCAAGAACAGAATGGGGTGTGCCCAGGTGAGCTGGGTGGGCTGCATGCAAAAGGACATGGCTGTGGCCTCAGCCCTAGGCCTCCTCGCCCAGGCTGGGCTGCCCCTGCGCTGAAACAGGTGGAAAATGGAGCTCCTTTGTGAAAGCTGCCGGCTGGAAGGCTGACAGGGTGACAAAGATCACAACAGGGCCCCTCCCCCATCACTCAGATCAACAGGTTCCCATACCAACGACTTCTTCCTCCGCCTCCTTTGGGTGTCTTTTCTTGAAAACTTCTAATTTATCTGCATGTGGTTTCTAAAATTATGATCATTTTAGAGAATCTGAAAAAAAATCTTTACTATAATGAGCAAAAAAGTCCTTGTGACTTATGTAAATAAAGACTGAAAATAGAGTGATTTAGCTATTTTCCAAGATGCTTTAGAGAAGAAATAAAAAGGATCCACAAATCTCAGTCTTTGTGCTAGTGTTCTTCCATCATCCCTCCAGCTAAAAAGGATTCCCGAGGTCTTTTGTAAACCTACAGAATTGCGTAACATTCTGCTCTCAGGGCAGAAACACAGCACATAATACTAGGCACATGGTAAGTACTCAACGAACACCTGAATTTAACAGCTGTCCTCAGGTGAACTGCCCATCTCTCCCCACACCCTCCCTCCTACTCCTCTTTCTCATTCTCTCACACACACACTTTAAATCCACCTGGCAAAACTAAACACAGGCAATCAAAGTGAACCTGGCAACTCTGTTCAGAAAGCAGGAATTCAGGCTGGGTGTGGCACAGGCTGCAGTCCCAGCTTTTAGGAGGCTGAGGTGGGAGGATCCCTTGAACACAGGAGTTCAAGGGCAGCCTGAGCCACATTGCTGGACTCCATCTCTTACAAAGAAAATGAACAAAAATGACAAAAACCCAGCTCGAAGCTACTTCTACTTTCTCAGGTAAAGGAAAATTTGGAGAAAAATACATTTAAAAGATTTAAAGGCCGGGTGTGGTGGCTCACGTCTGTAATCCCAGCACTTTGGGAGGCCGAGGCGAGCGGATCACAAGGTCAGGAGATCAAGACCATCCTGGCTAACATGGTGAAACCCCATCTCTACTAAAAATATAAAAAATTAGCCGGGCGTGGTGGCAGGCGCCTGTAGTCCCAGCTACTCGGGAGGCTGAGGCAGAACAATGGCATGAATCCGGGAGGCAGACCTTGCAGTGAGCCGAGATTGCGCGCCACTGCACTCCAGCCTGGGCAACAGAGTGAGACTCCGTCTCAAAAAAAAAAAAAAAAGATTTAAAAGAGTCATTGATTCCTGTAGCACAGAGTCTGTGATTACTTTGGAATTGCCAAGAAGCACGTGTTAGGGTCTGTGCACAGTGCCTCTTAAGGATTACAAACAGGCACACAAGCGTGTGATGTGAGTCTCGTCCTCAGAGGGTACTTTCACAAGGATAGGCCTGGGTTCCTGTACAATACACTGTCCTACACATTGAGGGCTGGGCACAATAGAAGCATTCACCAGAGATAGGATTCATTCAAGAGCCTTAAAAGACTTCTAGGTACTAGACACTTATTTTTAGTACTTCATTTTGCATATTTAAAATGTCCTATAACTACTCATCTGTTCAAAAAAAAAAAAAAAAAAAAGATTGATGAAAGGATTCCATTAGATATTTGTCAATCAAACACAGTGGGAAAACCACTTCTGGTGTTTGGGTGGTTAGTCCAAACCATGTAACTACATATAAATACACTGGTATGTGACAGGCCAGGGATCAGACTACCCAGGGACTTTTATTCATTCATTCAGGAAATATTCAAGCATAATTGTGGTTAAACAGCAAATACAGTGACTTACGGACTCAAAGCTGACACCACTGAAGGAATGTAAATTGGTGCCACCACTTTGGAAACCAGGTATCAACTAGTAAAGCTGAAGGTATGCACACCTGACTCAGGGCTGTTCATAATTGCCCCAGACCAGAAACGACCCAGATGTCCATCAACAGTGGACAGGTAATTTGTGGTATGTTCACAAGACAAAAATGTACTAAGTGGGCTGGGTGTGGTGGCTCACACCTGTAATCCCAGCACTTTGGGAGGCCCAGGCAGGAGGATCCCTTGAGCCCAGGAATTCAAGACCAGCCTGGGCAATATAGTGAGACCTTGTCTCTAAAAAAATTAAAAAAACAAAAACAAAAACAACTACAGGCATAGTCAACAACATGGATAAATCTTTTAAAATAGTATGCTGCAGAAATTCAAACAAAAAATTATATATGTGCGTGTGTATATACATACATACACACACATCATACATACACATACACATGCACACACACACACGATGCCGACCAGAAAGGATTCACAAGAGTATCTACTTTTAGTTTGCACTGAGGTTAAAAAAACAAAATAAAACTATGTCAATTAGGGATTTATATTTAAGGGATCAAAACTATACAAAAGAAGGAAGTGATTCCCATAAAAGTCAGAGTAGTTTCTGGCTAGGACCTCTGGGGGAGGGGGAGAGTGTGGAGTGAGATTCTCGACCTGCAAGACAGTTACACTTAGGTTTTCGTTAAAATAATCCATCAAATTATCCGTGCATAATTCACAATTCAATAAATCTAACGTTGATTTCTGGGAATTCAGAGCCATGACAACAATTCTGGCCAACCCTCTCTGAATGTCACTTTTTGCTGTCAGCTTCATAAGGTCAGAGACCGACCTTACTTGCCTTCTTCCTCTGTATTCAGGCACAGCACCTTGAGCATGGTAAAAGTCCTCGGTAAATGTATAATATATACAGCCACAGACTCCTGACATGAATTTTGTTTTAACCCATCCATTTCCTGAAATTACTGATTTGAAGAGTGCCCACATTAACTTTCCTTTGTCTTCACCCAGGTGAAGTGAAGCTTTCATAAATAATAAAGCCATCTTAAATGTTAGCTCTGTAAGTTTATACCCAGGCCTCGGTTGCTTTAGCAACTCTCCCTGCCTTCCACTCCCTTTGACGTTTCTTTATAAGCAAAGATACTATGCTAGTAGTCCTAGATTTTTTTTTTTAATAGGAAAAGTTTTCTTCTGCACCTAAGAGTAAAACCTAGGATCGTAATGATTCTACTACTTTGAAGTTGTTTAAAAAGGGGTCATTTGCCCCTTGCCCTGAGAAGTAACACCGTCTATCAGGATTATTAAAACTTTAGGAACAGTTGTACTTAAACACGTTACTTGTTCTTGACAGAAGCCAAACCTTTATGAACAGGACAAGTCAGTTTTAAAATAATTAATTTCAGTTAAAAAACCACTTTGTGCAAACAGACGTTTATAAAAAAGCTTAGAAAAGTCTAAAAAGATACACACAAACCGATAAAGACGCACTCGGCAGTTACTTTTGAGAAAGAGGTTCAAAAGAAAGCTTTAACCTTATTAGTAAAGTATAAATGTCACAGAGAATGGTTAATATATTCCTTGTGATTTTGGGAAAAGCATTTTTAATCCATTTTGCCTTAAAATCCCAACTGCAAAGGAACCGATCAAACACAGCCCTCCCTAAAGCCCACCTTTTAAAAACATTAAAGTCTTAAAGGATTTCCTGGACTTAACATACTTGGCTAATTTTTTATGATATGAATATACATTTACGCCATTCTATTAATTATTATTACAAAAGTCATACCTGCAGTCAACCGATATGAAAGCTTTCAGATGAGAACTCAGGACAGACACGTTCAACACTGACATTAAAACGACTTGGAGTGAAGGAAACTGTCTCCAGTTTTATGGGGGAAAGCCAAAAATATCAAGCAACTACCTCTCCTCCCCCAAGCGTCAGAAGATGAGTCAGAGCTGGAGGCAGGAATAGGGCCCATGTGTCAAGCCGCCTGTGCAGGGCTCCTTCCTACCTCCTCGTGGCAACCCTCGTCCCTCCCCCAGGTCAGGGTCTCTGCCCCGGCCTGTCCCTGATGTGAAGTGTCCCTGATGCGAATTCTCAGGCGTCTCTGGCGAAGAAGAGGCGTTCACTGTGGGGGTGCCTCCTTCCCTGCGTTTCTCAAGGGAACCAAGACTGGGGTCCTTTATGAGTCCACAACAACAATAACCAAATTGCAGCTCAAGGGAGTGGAGCTTCCAGACACACGCACGACTCTGCAAAGAATACAGCACCTTTGTTCCCGTTTTTAGAGAGCAGGAAGGAAATGAGCAGAGAGAAACTGTGACTTGTCCAGTGTGACTTAACTTTGTGGCAGAGCTGAGTCTCAGGCCTGGAGCTGCCGGCTGGCCTCCGCCTCTCTGACTCTTAAGTGCTCTGTAGAATGTTAGGGAAGACGGTCCAACATTCCATTATACTTCTGAGTGGCCTTAGGGACTAGGAATTCCAGGAGACTCTGGGTTAAATCTCTTGGTCCCTATTCCTTTAAGCTTACTAAGGAACCCGTTGCTCTTCGCCTCCGTTTTTACATCTGTAAAACGGGATGGTAATGCTCTCCAACCCCCTCTCTTATAAAACCATAATGAACAGCTAACGAGTTAACACACGTTAAATGTTCGGAGGTCCTGCTAGTTAGAAAGTACAAGGTGGCTTAAAAAAAAAAAAAAAAAAAAAAAAAATCCCTGCAGAGTACAACTGCATTTGTAAGTCGCTCCTCCTTCCCTAGCCTCTGGGATGCCCAGTTACCATAACACTGGCTGGTACCACTGGCAACATCCACCTAAATAAAGTACAGTTATACAATCCACTTAAGGTGGCCACAGCACGCACCTCCTCTCTACAGACAATAACTCAACTTCGCTCCGGAGCAAGGGTACTTAGGAGAAATAAAAAGACAGATGTTAGCACCGCACACACCCATCTACCACCGCAGAGGAAGACTCAAGTTGGAGACTTGGCATCGCTGAAAGTCAAGTTGCTTCTATCCATGCTCAAGAAACCTCCGGGAGATGCAAAAAGCCGCGGCGCGCTCCAGAGCGGGCGGACGCCAGCGGGACGGGGCGGCCTCCGCGGGGTTGCCAGGCGGCGGAGGGGAGGCGCGGCCGAGGATGCTGGAGCCCCGGGGCACACGGACAGGGTTGCGGAGGCGGCGTGGCGCGGCGGGGGAGCGGCAGGGGGCGCACGCCCAGGGCCGGCAAGGGTGCGCTGCGGGGGTTCCCGGGCCTCTCCTCCCTGCGCCCCCCCAAGAGTCAAGGACCGCCGGGGAGCAGGTGGGGGCGCCGGCACAAAGTTTCCAGAGGCGGGGTCGCGCGGGCCTCTGGGTGCCCCCTGCGCCCCGGGACCCGAAGCGCGAAGTCCCGCCCTCCCGCCCCCACCCCAACAGCCTCCCCACAACCCCCACCCCCGGGCCTGCGGGTCCCCTACCAGCGCGGCGCGGGGCTCGGATAAGGCTGCGTCCTACTGCGCGGCCGCCGGCTTCTGCGGGCTGAGCGCCACGCGCGCCGCCTCCTCCTCCCTCCGCCCGCGCCCGGGGCGGGCCGCGCGCACGCTCCCTGAGCCTGCCCGCCCTCTCCCGAGGTGGGGGGACGCGCGGGGCGGCTGGAGGCGCGCGTGCGCGCTGGGCTTCTGCGCGGTGCGGGGTGGCCCGGGCGCGCCCCCAGGTTCCGAGGTAGCCGCCGCCTCCAGGGCGCCCCTCTGTCCGAGTCCTCCCGTCTTTTACCCTGCCTCACACACGGACGACCGCTCGCTTCCCCAGTCAGCGTCTGCCTATGAGCCAGGCTCGAGGCGGGCTGCGGGGGCGCTCTACTGGGGTGCTTTCGGGATTGGAGAAGATTAAAGGCGAGAAAGCAAATCCGATACAGGTGTGAAGCCGCCGCAGGTGGCTAGCCCCGGCCTCGACCCCACCCCACCGCCTCCCCAGCCCGGAGAGCCCGGGAGTTGGGACCCAAGAGCGAAGGGGAAATCAGTAGCGCGGCAGTCCCTGGCTGACCCTTGCTGGAACAGGTACGGGCAGCCGTGGCGCCCGAGACCCGGAGGAGGTGAACTTCCAACCTCCGTGCGCATCTCCGCCTGCTCCTGCCACGCCAAGGTGCCGTCCGAGTCTCGGAGCCCACGCCCACCGCCCGAGCCCCCGAGGCAGGGCTGGGGTTCTCCGAAGCGCAGGCGGGACACAGGCATTCACTGATGGCTCATTTGCTGTGTAACTCTGAGGGTCTTTTAAAATTCAGGTCTGCCCATCTGTAACATAAATCGGTGCGAAACGGACGTTTTCTAGCACAGCCCCGCCTCCCCTCCGCCTCTGGCAGGTGAGGGGAGACACGTGGGAGGCAAAGCGACTTCCTCAAGGCTCTGCCGTGAGTCAGTGCACCTAAGAGTCCTGACTCCATGCCCAGTCCTTGACTCACCAGCCCCTGCTCCTCGCCGTTGCAAATCGTTGGCCTCAGAATTGCTGAGCAGTCAAACGAGTAGGCATGGGTTTGCGGGGAGGGGTGCGGGGGAGAAGTAAAACCCGCGTTTGGAGTTTGCATCTCCTGATGTCTTCAACCAAAAGCTTTGAAGCTTTTTCATGTTCTTCCCGATCTCCACTGCCCAACCGGCTTCAGAGTCATCCGATGCGTGCTGGAATATCTAAAAGTTAGTGATAATTTTAATGATAATCCTGCGAAACGAAAAAGGTCTAGAGAGATTTATTTTTGTCTTCATAAAAAGAGAAAGCTTTAAAATTAGGCAAAATTAAGAGAAAACAAAGCAGCATACTTTACTAGATTCAGGAAACCACTGAGTTCAAATCGTGCCTGGGAAAAGCATCTTCCTAACACTAAATTGTGACGTCAGTTCACTTAGTGACTTACTTGTTTACATGCCAATACGAAAAGAGCAAATCTCTAGCAAATCCTTTCTGCTCAACACCCCCTAGTCCTTGAAGCTTCAGTCAATTCAATGACTCAGCAGCACAGATAGATGCATCCCTCTTCACATTCCAGCTTGTTACACTGAAGGCAGGTTTCCAGAACAAGCTCTAGTGACAAGGAGCGAGGCATTTTCATGGATTATGGGAACTAAACCTACCATGAAGAGTCAGTGAAGAGGAGGGAGGTGGGCTAAAATAGAGTTTGTGTTGTGTGTGATGTGCGTGTCAAGATTTAGAGATTTAGAGATTAAGTAGAAAGAAGTGCTGAAGTCAGACCATGTAATGACTGTACAGACATGCCCTGGGGTAGGGAGGCGCTTTATGCCTTTACAGAATGTGGAAGTGCGGGGTTATACATGCCTCTACCAAAAATGCAATTTGAAGGTATTCTCTTCTGGACCAGCACTGTCCAATAGAACTTTGTGTGATGATAGACATGTTCTGTATCTCCACTATCCAATACAGTAGCAACTAGCCTCATGTGGCTACTGAACACTTGAAATGTGGCTAGTGTAACTAAGGAAGTGAATTTAAAATTTTATTTTAGTAAATTTAGATAGCCACATATGGCTAGTGGCTACCTTACTGGACAGCACATTTCTAGACTATAATAAGTATGTGAGTTTCTTTATAGGTGTCAATTTTTCTTTTTTTTTTTTCCTTTTTAGATAGGCTTCAGGCTGGAGTGCAGTGGTACAATCATGACTCACTGAAGCCTCCACTTCCTGGGCTCAGGTGGTCCTCCCACTTCAGTTTCCCAAGTAGCTGGGACTACAGGTACGCCACCACGCCTTGCTAATTTATTATTGTTTTTATTATTATTTTCTGGGGGATGGCAGTTTCTTTCTTGTTGCCTAGGCTGGAGTGCAACGGCACAATCTCAGCCCAGTGCAGCCTCCGCCTCCCGGGTTCAAGTGATTCTCCTGCCTCAGCCTCCCGAGTAGCTGGGATTACAGGCACATGCCACCACGCCCAGGTGATTTTGTATTTTTAGTAGAGACAGGGTTTCTCCATGTTGGTCAGGCTGGTCTTGAACTCCCGACCTCAGGTGATGCCCCTGCTTCGGCCTCCCAAAGAGTGCTGGGTTTACAGACGTGAGCCATCGCACCCGGCCTTTTTATTACTATTTAAAGAGACAACATCTCTTTAAATAATATGTTGCCCAGGCTGGTCTTGAACTCCTAGGCTCAAGCAATCCTCCTGCCTCAGCCTCCCATAGTGCTGGGATTAGAGGCATGAGTCACTGCGCCTGGCGGTGTCAACTATTTTGGATGTAGAAACATTTTAGAGGCTGTCTGCTATAAAATTACAATTTGTCTATGCCCAGGGAGGGTTTGGGTTCTCCTGACTCCCAGCTAAATAAGCAGTGCTTTCGAGCAGGGCAGCATCTACAAAGAGTGACAGCTGATCTGATTAACACCGTAAGTAGAGGGCGGAAATTTGTACTCTGCTTAGCTTCTGATGTCTGCCTTTCCAAAAATATTCTCCTTAATTGCTTGGGCAATGACTGCTCCTTAGATTAATCAAACTTTTATGGGTCCCTCAGAATGAATAGTTGCATCTTCCATTTGTATCATTGCCTCTGGTTAACAAATTGGCAACAGCTTTGATCTGTCAGAATTGGGGAACAGCGGTCATCAAGGCTCCCAGTCTACAGAAGTTTGATTTCAGGGTGCCATCGGGTCTTGTGGCTCACAGAGATTCGGAAGGCCTGCTTGCCTGTGCCTCTAATTCCAAATTATATGCCATTGATGGCTATAAAAATGCAAATCCCCTGAGATAAGTAAATCTTTAAGCTACTGTCCTTTAGCAGATTTGAGAGGGACACTGGACACCAGGTTTCTGGGAGAAAAGATTTCTTAAAAACAAGCAGGATAGAAGTCTCAGAACACATTTCTTCTACTGCAGAAGTTTGCCTAAGGCTTGTGCTATTTCATAAGATGTAAAGTAGCACCTTATCTGGATATCATAAGGATTAACTAGATATTATTATTATTATTATTTTTTTTTATTTTTTTTTTTTGAGACGGAGTCTCGCTCTGTCGCCCAGGCTGGAGTGCAGTGGCGCAATCTCGGCTCACTGCAAGCTCCGCCTTCCGGGCTCACGCCATTCTCCTGCCTCAGCCTCCCAAGTAGCTGGGACTACAGGCGCCCGCCACTGTGCCCGGCTAATTTTTTTCTATTTTTTAGTAGAGACGGGGTTTCACCATGGTCTTGATCTCCTGACCTTGTGATCCGCCCGCCTCGGCCTCCCAAAGTGCTGGGATTACAGGCGTGAGCCACCGCGCCCGGCAACTAGATATTATTAAATGTAAAATACTTTGAACTTCTTTCCGAGTTTTCACAGTTCTCATAAAATGTACTTTCCAAGTAATAAAGAATTGTCACATTACAAATAAGAAAAAGAAAAAAAAAGCAAAAAGGAGAGAAAAAGCATTGCTCACTACAATTTTATTACTTAACAAAACAACAGTTAGCATCTGGATTTCTTTCTGGTCTTGATTGTATGCAAGATTTTTTCGTTTTGTTAACACAATTACAATCAAAGTATGCATACAGTTCTGTAACCTGACATCAAGCTTTTTGAGCCAGGCATTATAAAAGGGAACATTACAGCATGTCTAGGATAATTAGGTAATTTCAAATCTGTCTCTGAAATGTTTTGCCCTTAATTCAACCCTTGGGCTGTAG